AGCGACTCATGGCAGCCCAGCTCCAGGTCGAGCTGTTGTTCACCATCTTAGCTGTAGAGGGCGCAGTGTCACTGGCCCTCATGTGGGATCCGAACCGGAGCCCTACTGCTCAGAGATGGCATCCCAAGCCAACTCCTAACCAATGAGCCACTTGGCCAGTACTAATGTTTATTTTATATATAACATTTTAAAGATTAATTACATGGGAAAGAATACTTCAGTGAAAAAAACAGGCTAAAATTCACTTATGAAAACTATTATGTGATAAAAAATTATGCAAAGATGTGATCTTGCAAACAACTGAATACAATCTAAATACCTCATTATGGGGGTTAATTAAATCACCGCACCTCCGTATAATGGATTTTATCTTGAAGACATTAAAATGGTGTAGAAGAACTATTACTAGCATAGGAAAATGTTCATAATATATAAGCTAAAAAACCTAAACTGTATGTCCAAAATATGATCTCAATTTATGAATGTGTTTGAAAATATAAAGCAGCAATAAAGTCAACAAAATGTTAATGTGATCTCTAGGCATTTGTGTGTGTGTGTGTCGGGGGGATGTTAACAAAAGCTATACTTTTTTTTTTAAAAACATGTTTTCAAAGTTATTTCAAAAAGTAAGCTTAGAAATGTACTGTGTCTAAAATTAAATAATTTTTAAATGCTACTTTGATAGGCTTATATTTAAATAAACTGCCCACCAAATACGTTGATCCTCACCATTGTTATTAGATCACTGAAGTACTAACCAATAAGGTGTTCAACATTAAAACTTCTTGCACACCAAACTAAAATGTAGACAATGACATGGGAAGAATTAAATATAAAGACTTGTTTTTAATTACAAAGATAGAAAATTTATGAATCCATGAAATGGCTAACACTGCAAGAATTCCCATTACCAGCTACAAAGTAACTGCTAAATATTAGAAGCCATAGAAACTAAGGGGAGAGGAATCCCCTTAATTTCATGCTAAAAGAATTGTCTGGGCCTGCTGAATTAACTAAGTTGCCCAGGAGATTCAGCAAGCTCCCCCTGAGCTGGACACCACCAAAGTGGTTCCAGGACACAGCTGTATGCCCAACAGAGAGGGCAGAGCTGCACTCGTTTTTTATTGTCTTTAAGTGGTTCATCCACAAGTGTTTTATTTGTTAATGTACTAGCCAGGGTTCCTGATTCTGAAAAACGTGGCTCCTTCTGAGGAAACTTACCAACATGTGAATATGATGCATGAGGTCCAGGGATAAGAGGGTGAGCTCCATGACAAAGTCTGTGTAGTAGACATATGTTCCCTTTCCTTCCCAGGTCCCTTCGTGGTTGAGGTCCCAAAGGTGGATTACGTATCTTCAGTGATAGAGAAAATGCATTTTACGAACTTGTCGTCACAATTGAATTTGCTTTACACATGATATGAGTCATATTTTAACACATTTTATACATCGTATCTTAAAATCAACTGTATGAGTAGACATCAGTCATTTCTACTCACCGTAAAATCACATGAGCAGTCCTCACTGTCACAAGAAGAGACTGTTAAAAAAAAAAAAAGAGAGATCATTTTTGGAATAAAATTTAGGATTCTTCAGGCCAAACTGATTTTTACAAAATGATAAAAGACAAACATTTTTCAATTAAATTAAAAAGCAGGTTATCTGAAGAGTATGGAGGATGGGGGAATTGGACGAAGGTGGACCAAAGGTACCATTTTCAGTTATAAGGTACGTAAGTTCTGGGGATGTCATGTACAGCGTGATGATTATAGTTGATAGCGCTATATGGTGTATTTGAAAGCTGCAAAGACTCAAAAAAGGCTGGTTAAAATGAAAGACCAAATATCCATCAGTCACTTCATGGGTGGAAATGTCAATAATCCTCTAGCTTCCTTGAGATATTCGGGAATGTAATCAGAGCAGAAGCCTGTGTCTGCCTCTTACCTCCGCAGCCATGAAAGCCAACGTGTGCATCCCATGGGTGTAGCCTGTGACACAACAGACAACTGCCAATCCACAACAGGAAAGCAGCATAGCGATCAACAGAGACAGCACTCGACCATGGCTACTCATTGGTGTGGTGGGAGAAAAAGAGAGCTGAAACATACAAAGCGGGAGAAGGAAGCTCATTCTCCTGCATGGCCGTGTTAAACTTCACTGAGAAACTCAAGGTTAATCTTGGTGGCTTTGCTTGGGAACCTGTGCTTAGTGTGGGCGCCTAGATGCAAAGTACAGAAAAGCATCCCATTACCAGACGGCCAAAATTCTCCAACCAACCAAAATATGAATATGAGCTGATAAAGATCTTTATCATTTAATTTACCGATTATAACAATATACATTATATTTTCATCTCCAATTTTCAAGGATCCTCCTACCAGTGGGATTAGAAGCCTCTAGAAGCAATTTTCCAAAGGTACATAATTCTCTCTTCCAATGTTCAACAGGACTCAGGACACCACCACTGACCTTGCTCCAGCCCTCCTCCCCCAGAATTCACCTGGAGGACATTCCTCCTGAAACATAATCCCTACCATAATGCTATGTTAACAGCGCGCAATGAGAGGCAGCAGCTTGGAAAAGGAGGCCTGGAGCTGGAGCTTCTGAGCAGTAAGGTGTAGGGAGCAAACGAGTTAGGGAGGCTAGACGCTCCTGGTCCTGACCCTGAAGCGGGGTGGAACTGTGAAAGAGCTATGAAGACTGTGAGGCTGCGATTAACTCACATAGGGGTGCAATGGCCACTGGTCATGATGACTAGGCAAAGAACCAGGCAAACGAGGCCCTGGCGTGTGTTTAACTAAAGGGCAGGACTGTAGGTTTATCCGGGCGGGATCCCTGAAGCCAGCTCAGGAGCACTCATGCGTGAGGGTTCACCTGCACAGCTCGGATCGGAAGCCAAGAGGCAGATCTTGTGCCCAGACAGAAAAGGATTCACTTCTCCTGGGCCAAGGAAACCAAGAAAGCTAACGTGGTTCCTGCCCAGGGGTGGAAACTGTATAAACTAGTCAGAAAGAAGAGCTCCAAGAACCAGAGTGTGTGGGGGGTGGGGGGGGGCGTGGAAGGAGACTAGAACAGACAATATCTGGAAGGGACCAGCTTTTATTCAGTTTATATATTGAGGCTTTCCTGAGCTGCGATTCAAACAGGTTGTGTAGGTGAGCTGCCCCCATATGGGCTGTAACTAGGTAATACACTATTGGGGAGGCAGAAAACCTGCCTAGGAGACAATGACCCTGCATCCCTTGGCGGCTGCAGAGACAGGCAGTAGGTACCTGATCCAGGCTTCCCCTGGAGAGCGACCCCGAACATGCCTATCACGGCTCATTCACGTCACATAATTCAACCCTGGCAAACGTGACAAAGCGCGCAAAGAGCTTGGCTAAAAACTCACATATTCAAACCGGTCCTTGCAGAGCTGAACCATCAGATGGAGAAATACAAGTCCGGCAAACCAGAGGCACCACATGACCACCTCTTCCACAGTCTGGACATTCAGCACACCAAAAATGAAAATGAACTTGTAGAAAATAAAATTCCAAAACTTGTCTTTCAGGTGCTAAAAAAAAAAAAAAATGTTTATAAAGGTGAGTACCATCACACCTAACCCACTTAAGAGAAGGCAACATAACATAAGCTGACTTCTATAGAGAAAAGATTCTGTGCTCAGCTTTCTAACACTTGTCCACAGAAAAATAGAAGACAAAGACAAAAGTAAGCTCTCTGAGGAACAGAAAGTAATTTATAGACTTTGGGTTGTAATCCGCAGTCAGTTACGGAATTTTAGCCACTAAAAGGGGAGTGGTATCAGGCAAGCACCTGGAATATTAAATGATACATATACTCAAACACAAAATAAAAAATGGTGAGGGCTGCAAATATCATTATTAATATGTTTGCTCGCTGGATTCTTAGAACAATAAAAAAGATTAGACTTTTTTTTACATCCTTCAGATTAAAAAATAACATATGTTCATTTGCCAGCCCATAATCAATAACAAGAAAAAGTACAAGGAAATGTAAAACAAAAATGAGGCCTTAACATTTTTATGCATTTTTCTTGTCAAAACATTACTTTTGTACACTGCTTTATTTCACTTATCATGTTGTCGGAACCTTACCAATGTCAATAAATATTCTCTGAATATACCATTTTAGTGGTTACAGATGGACTGAAACTGTTTTTAATTTTTCACCATTCAGAAAATGTTACAATGAATACCTTTTTACCAGTTTCTATTTCTTCAGCATTATCAAACCAGAGGTTACAAATGTTTTTATGGTTTCTAATAAGCACCATCCGCCTGACTTCTGAAGAGGGAGTACCAATGTACACCCCCTGAGCAGTGTATACGTGTATCTGCTTCACTGTCCTCTTCCTACACTGAGGACTTCCAGTTTTAAAACTCTTTACTGTTCTGGGGGAAAAAGGGGCAACGAGGGGCATCGAGCCAACAGACATTAAAATATACTATCAGGGCTGGCCGAGTGGCTCAGTTGGTTAAGAGTTGGCTTAGGAGTGCGAGCTCTGAGCAACAGGGCCGCCGGTTTGATTCCCACGTGGGCCAGTGACACTGCGACCAAGCTGAGCTGTTGCTGAGCTGCCAACAGGTGGCAGGATGGCTCAGCTGGTGTAACAACAAGATTGCCTGTTTGATGGTGGGCTATGCCCACACACAACTAAGAGTGAACTTGGCACCTTGAGCTGAGCTGCCGCCAGGATGGTTCAGTGGGTGAGCATGTGCTCTTAACAAGGCTGCTGGTTCGCCTCCCGCATGGGATGGTGGCTACGCCCACCCACAACTAAAGATTGTAACACAGCATCTTGAGCTTAGAGGCCACGAGATGCTGACGGGAAGCCAGATGGCGACTGGCGCACTCCACAACAAAAACTGAAGAACAACAACTTGGATGGTCCCCTTCCCCAATTCCCCAACACTGTTCCCCTCCCCTAGTTTACCAATAAAATCTTAAAGAAAAAAAAAAAGTACACACACACACACACACACACACACACACACACACAATATCGAGCCATCTACAGGAGTGGTGGAACTGAGTGGAGGATAGTAAGGATGAAAACATGGCTTCTAAGTATACTTTTGTATATAGTTTTGAACCTTGTAAATGTTTCACAAATAAAAAATCAAGACAGAAAAAAAGCAAAATTAAATAAAAACTGAAATAATTAAATCTAAATGTGCAACAAATTGATACATGACAACTTAAAGAATTATTCTGAGAACTGTTACACACTGTATTCTTACTGTACAACCTTTGTACAGAGAACAAAACGAACAAGGAATCCTTGGTGAATGTCTCTTTTCCAGATCTGGGGCAGGTAAAGCACAAGGTAAACTTAGGACACTGGGTGCCCTGGTTTTGAATCTTTGCTGCAACATCTATGTGCTGTGTGACTTTGAGCAAGTCACTTAACATCCCCGTGCTCTGGCTTCCCAAATGGGTCTTTTAACAATGGCTTAGATCTCATACGATTGCTGGGGAGCCAAATACGGAGATATAAGTGTAATGCTTAGACAACTGCCACAGTGCGCAGTAAGTGTCTAAAAATCCCTTGTTCTAAATCTCCACTTCACAGTTCAATATTTGTTCCATTTTAGGTAGTCAATGTCTTTGCCTCTAACATTATTCTTGAACTTTAAGCACTCAGAGCAAATCCATGTCAATTCTGTTAAATCCTAACTCAAAAACGTGCTAAATAAATGGATGACATTAGTAAAAAAAAATGAGTCATCACAGAATAGCATGAAAAATGTGCTCTCTACTGAGAAACCTGAAAGCAGAACTGAGTAACAAATGTGTCCATTACGATGATCTCTAGGTATTGCAAAAACCTCTGTAATACTCCAAGGTTGTTTTCTGTAAATTTCGAACTGATATTTAACATTTTAGAAAAAGAAAGCAGTATCTACGGCCCAATCGTGCCAGCTCAATCCACCAGCACTTAGATGGCTTGCCTGGCCTCACCAATTTCTGGCCCACAAGTCAGAAGTTTTTCTTGAAGAAGAAAAAAGCATCAAAAGGAGCTTTTATAGCCCATCAAAAAAATCTACATTCTAGTGATCTCCTCTAGGAGACCTCTGGATTTAATATTTTGGAGAAAATGATGATATTCACTAATGAATAATCTCTGGGAAAACAAACAGTCCTGCTGATAACAGCATCCAAGAGCTCAAGGACACAGTAACCGCATTTCAGCTCTAAACTAGGACCTCAGCTGATCTGATAACAGGAGATCTGGGTTGAAAAGGGTAAGTAAGAAGTGAAGCCACTGTACCTTTAACTAGTAGGTTCCTGTGTCTTCTCACTGGGATACAATAAACTATGTTGCTGTTTTAAAAATCAGTTTCTAAATTCTTACTTTAAAACACACCACTCTACTCTCTATCTACTAAAATCCTTGGGGAACTCCCAATCTGTACAGTATTCTTGTGGCGTAATTCTTTATTGAAAGCACATCCTGCTCACATATACATTCTGAGAATAATGTTCAGGCTATCTCATCTGAAGCAAGAACAAGTCACCTAACTTTCCGTTTGTAGAATAAATCCTAATTTACTTTCCAAAGGAAAAAATGAAAATCTCTCAATAAATTCCTTTGGAAAAAAATCCATATTCCAGTGATATTTATTATTCAATCTAAACTGAATCTACACTTCTTTAAAAACTACATTCAGGGCCAGCCGAGTGGCGCAATGGTTAAGAACTGGCTTGGGATGCCAGAGGGCCCCGGTTCGGATCCCACATATGAGGGCCGGTAACACTGCCCTCTACAGCTAAGATGCTGAACAACCACTCAACCTGGAGCTGGGCTGCCGTGAGTCGCTGGGGACGGTGTAGGCTGCAGCCCCTGCTGCAGTGGGTTGCCATGGGCTACTGTGTGTAGCCAGCAGCCAGCATGAGCAGCCAGCAGCCGCAGTGAGCGGCCATCCAGAAGCCGGGGACTGATCTGCCTCGCCAGGGAAGAGCGCAATGATGGTGCCAACTTGGGCCAGTGAAGCAAGGTCCTCCACAACTAGACTGAAGAACAAAACGACAACAACTTGTCTGTTCCCCTTCCCCCAATTCCTCAACGCTGTTCCTAGCCCCCAATTCCCCAATAAAAATTTTTTAAAAAACAAACAAAAAAACTACATTCATAAAAGTCATGGGGAAAACAGCTACAAAGAACAATATTGGGACAACCTGGCTATGTTGAATATGGACAGTGGATGACATAAAAGTATTTTATCAGTGCTGCGTTTCCTGGTCATTGTGCTATGGTTATGCAAGAAAATTTCCTTGCTTTTAGGAAATACAAACTGAAGAATATGGAGGTAAAGGTATGATGTCCACAACTTATTCTCAAACAGATCAGAAAAAATAACTATATATAAACAAAAGGAAATGTTAAAGCAAATGAAGTATAATGTTAACTGTGACTCTGGATAAAGTCTGTAGTATTCGTGCAACTTTTTTGAAAGTCTGAAATTATACCAACTACAAAGATTAAAAAAACAAATTCTGGTTGCGAGAATCCATCCTTGCTGTCTGGACTTACCTGTCTCTCACTCACCCGAAGAGGGCCAAACACAATACATTGGATCAGCTTCGCCACCAACATCAAAACACAGCAAGCGGTATTTACCAGAACCTGTACACAAACCAAAGGAAGTTAAGTTTATTTCCTCCTGTTGAAAAACAAAAGCAGCTCTAAAAATTTTATGTTAGGAATTCGGCCATCATTTATAATGACTGAGCCTTTCCAGTTCTCCACCAGTATAAGATAAGTAATATTTGAAGGGGCACGCTTTTATAAGGTGGGTGGCGTGGGCAGGATAAGGAGGGAGAAGAGGCCCCGTTAATTCACAGAGCTCTGTCCCAGGATGTGCTCGCCAGCAGGTCTTAACCGAACTGTGTGTAAACGTAGTACTGTGTATAAAACTGCATGTACCTTATCAACTGTAGGTATCTCCTAAGTACATGATTTCCTATGGTAAGATTTTGATAGCCTTGAGAAAACTTTTCTAGAAAATGAAGTTACCGTGAACAGTAAAATCCGGCACTCAAATATCCTGCCCTGCCCTGTCAATTAGGAGGTGGTTACAAAAAGTCACAAGAACATGAAGAATTGAACACCAAGATGTGTATGTCTATTTTTAAATGTATTGCAGTGGGACAATCTGCCAACCAAAAGGTACTGTGTGCGTGGTGTTGGCCTTTAATGGAAAAGTCCTGGGGCCTCAGAGGGGATTGGAATGGACAAACCAGAAAGACGGAACAACACTGGCAGGAGGAGCCGAGAACTGAGGGCAACCATGAGGTGCCGATGCAAAACCAAGGCCTTCTTCAGCAGGAGGTGGGACATTGCTTTTGTTTTTTTTACTAATTAAGAGATGGATATCCTTATACCTACGCAAATCTAATGCTTACCAAATGAAAAGTGGGCTGCCCTGACCACGAGGCTAGTGCAGCACATTACTGATGCTCAAATGCTTTTTAAAACATTGCATGACTAAAAGGACTTTGATAAAGACAGTAAAGATGACTTTTACTGAAAGCAAATGCCAGTGAACGCCAACTCAATGCAAAGGCTGAATGCTTCAGTCTTTGATTCACTAAGTTTACAGGAAGATGGCCATATTCCCCTTCCCAGGTCAGTCTCCCTCTACTTTTATTATTATTATTTTTTTAAGATTTTATTGGGGAATTGGGGGGAGGGGAATAGCATTGGGGAATCAGGGAAGGGGAACAGACAGGTAGACAAATTGCTGTTTTTGTTCTTCAGTCTAGTTGTGGAGGACTTCGCTTCACTGGCCCATGTTGGTACGATCGTTGTGCTCTTCCCGGATGAGGCAGATTGGATGCCGGTCACTGGACAGCCACTCACAGCTGCCGGCCGCTCACGCTGGCTGCCAGCCACTCATGTAGCTCACGGCAGCCCACTGCCTATGCCGACGCCGGCGACTCACAGCAGCCCAGCTCCAGGTCCAGCTGTTGTTCATCATCTTAGCTGTAGAGGGCCAGCCCTCAATGTGGGATCCGAACCGCAGCCGTGCTGCTCAGAGCTCAAGCTCCCAACCAGCTGAGCCACTCGGCCGGGCAGCCCCTTCCCTCTACTTTTGAAAGAAGCAAATTATTGAGGGAAGGAGGGAAAGAGAGAAGGGAGAGGGAGGGGGAGAGGGAGGAGAAGGAGGGGGGAGGGGAAGAAAGAAGAGGAAGGAAGGGAGAGAGGGAGGGGGAGGGGAGGGGAGGAGGAAGAGCAGGAAGAGAGGTCTATAAGGAAGCAAGTTTCCCAAATCGCTTCAGGTTCCCCTTAGTATCTCATACCATTCACCCTTTGACAGAAGAACCCTGATTCATTAGAAAAAGATTAAATTATGTTTAGCTCTATTCTGCCTGTCCAATGGGGCAAGAAAGTGTGTGACATATTTTTAAAGAACTGAAACAAAAATATTTCTGCTGAAAACAAAACAAAACAAAACAAAACTATTCTGGTAATTAAATCCTTCCAATGACCAGGGGGGGGAAATCCCAAATTCGTTATCCAAAACATCTAGTATCCCTAACTTATGACTCCCTGTGGAACAGCCCCATTCAAAACATTCCAGTGACTTAGAATCCTAATTTTTAGAGATAAAATAGATGTGAAAATGGCTCAGCTCCACTGTGCTCTCAACCAGTCAGTGGGAACCTCAGTCATGTTAATTAAGTGTTCTAAGATAAAAACCACAACCACAACCCCTCACGACATATCCCCTAGCTGAAGAGGGTTTTTAAAATCAGCCAAACATCCCTCAGCTTAATTACAACATACTTTTAAAAACGAATTCTTCCTGTTTTTGCACGTAGGCATATGAAATGAAGAAATAAATTCAACACATTTGGCACCTGCTTGTTCAAGGCATGCAGGAGGTTAAGAGAAATGAAGGAGATCTGGGCCCTGCGCTCAAACGGCTTTTAGAATCCACAAGACACAGAGCTTGGTGACTATCTAACAGACCAAGCAGGCTGCTGCTGTGAGCGCAGAGGAGGAAAGAAATCAAATTTAGGGCTGCGTAATCATTGCTCTATCCGAAACGTTATGCCTGAACATCTTGGATTACAAAACAAAAAATAAAGTATTACTTCCTGTTTCTCAGTTAAACTTTTTTAAAGAAGATTTTCCAAATTCAAAAGTTAGGTGTAAAAATTTTGTATCTTTGATTTACCAAAATAAAAACAAAACAAAAAGTGAAAGTTCCTCAGAATCGACTGCCCATATATAACCATTTCCTATTTTAATTTAAATAGAAGAGTTAAAAATCAGCAAGGGAAAGAAGGGAAAAAAGGCTTGAGAAAGTACACTGATATTAGAAAGAGAAGTTATGTAAAAAGTAAGAAATAGCCATTTGTGAACTTTATTGGAAAGCTAAAACCACACAAAGTTGGAAGCAACTGAAAATTAATTTAAGATTACGTAAATAAATTTAAGATTACGAGCAAAGTGTTTTTTAAAAACACTTTAACAATTATTAATAACCATTTATTCTATGCCTAGTTATTGAAAAATATCTTAATTTTAAAAATAGTGTGTTAGGGACCGGCCGAGTGGCTCAGTTGGTTAAGAGCTCGCTCAAGAGTTTGAGCTCTGAGCAACAGCAGTTCGAGACCTGGCCCGAGCTGAGCAACCGCTGAGCTGCCAACAGGTGGCAGGATGGCTCAGCTAAAAAAAAAAAAAGTGTGTCATTCCAATAAGGATGTGATCAATTCTCAACTTTAAAACTGACAAAAGCTTGAGAAATTGCAAATATGGAAAGAAGTATAATTGTACTATTCATTCCTCATTTACAAGCAAATCCCAAGGATCAGACCCCACTAAGTCACCAGTGACACTTCCAGAAACAACACTTCAATCCACAGAACCTGGAAAACCTCACCTCCAGCAATTGTCATGAGGCTCACCTCCAGCAAGCCTGTGTAACCACTTATCCATGTGGTTATCCATGTAACCACAGTAAAAGTACTAACCTTATTTTATCTGCTCTCCACAGCTAACTGATTTTTCCTTATAGGCAGAATCCAAACTTAAATGTAAGTATAAGGGGCTCACTGGAGCACTGTTTATAACAGCAGCAGAACAGAAAACGTGTCCATCGGGAAAGCTATATCAATAAACTGTACAACAGGCAGAACTAGCTCAGCAGCTCTGTATTTACTACTGTTATGTGGAATCTTCAAGATAGCTTGTTCACTAAAAAAAAAAAAAAGCAAAGTGTGGGACTGTGAGTACTATGCGACCTTCTGTGTAAAAAAGAAAGAATATGTGTACATACACGTTGTATAATAGATAGATGTGAACTGAGTCAGGACTTGATCAAGTCTGGGTTTTCTTAGTCTTCTATTTAGCGCCAGCACTAATTACAAGAAACCGGTTACAGCCATTTCTTGGGGAGGGAAGTAGGTAGCAGGGAGAGAGGGAGATTGACTTTCCACTGTACGTCACGTGGCTATTTTTTTACTTTTGTACCATAAGCATGCATTCTTTCTTTCTTTCTTTTTTTTAAGTTTAGAATCTATTAAACTAATCAGACCAGTTCTGAAATTCCACATTATTTTTCTCATAATATGTTGGATGATCGGAGACTGATGTGTAACAAACCAAAAAATGGGTGGCCGAAGTCACAAGTTAATGTTACAACACGTAGTATTTCAGAAAAGTTTCTTGCATCTATAACACTATAAGAACTTTATACTTTTTAAAACTTCCCCAAATGCCTTTATTTTTTATTAGTCTACACAAAACAGAAACTAGTTTTGCTTGTCCCTGAGCATTCCCTGAGCAGCCTGTAACAGAACAGGTCAGACTGTGACTCAAGGAACCCCTCCTTAGGCTTAAAGGCCTTTCCTCTAAGGCCCCGTAAGAAAATCTCTCTCCCAAAATGGTTCTACTGTTCTACTTGAGAAAACAGAAACTAAATTATAAGACAGTTTGGTCTTCAGGGAAGAGAAGAGGGTGACAGCAAATGGCTTGGTCACATTTATCACTGGGTAACCCTGGAGGTATTTCTGACCCTGTAAAATGCTGACCACCAATGGGGCATTATTTGTGAGCTTGTGATGAAATGTGGTTAAACTACCAGGCACTGCTTCAAGGACGTGATCAATATGGGTATTTCTTCGTCTCCCATTTAAAACCAGTGGGAACTTCCCTCCCACCCAACACACACCCCTTTCTGTCTCCTCCGTTTAAGGACAACTGGAGTATGTCACCTCCCTGCAGGCTACCCACCCCCCACCCCCACTGATACAATGCCAATGAAATGCAAACAGGCATATCCCCTCCCCCCATTATTTTTGTGTTTGTCTTTTCACAATACAAGGGAAAGGAGATTATGTAGACAAAGCACTCAGCATACATCTGGCAATCAAATAGCCGGCTCCTTCCCCCTCACCCTGAAGATTTTTCCTCTATTAAGTTGTTTATCTAGGTCTATATCCTATTATTTATGAGTTTAGTCTTTCTCTTCAGCTGACCCAACATTTATGGAGCTAACATTTTTCTCTTAGTTTCTTTGGAACAGTCTACTCATAAAGTCTGAAACCTAGTAAACTATCAATACTTCCTGTTCTGAAGTAGAATAATTATGTGAAGATAGGGTCCTTAAAGCAGGAGTCAGCCACTTTTCCTCCAATGGACTATCAGTTAGTAAATATTTGGGGCCACACGCTGTCACATATGCTTCCTTTAAAAAAGAAATACCTTTAAAATGTAAAAACCATTATTAGTTGATAGGCTGGGCCAAAACAGGCTGGGCCAAATAGGCCACCACAGTGCCCCAACCCCTGCTCTAAATGGCCAGTTCACTTTTATCCATTTTCATTTCTGGTGATTTTTTTCCCCTTGAAACTTCTATTTAAATTATTTGATTTGCATACAAATTAAGTCAGAACCATAACACCTGTTTCATGGTTCTATTTCCCCATTTTACCATGTCCTCTCACAATTTTAGAAGCAAGTTCGTAAAAAAAGGAAAAAAAAACAGAAAGGAGAAAGTAATGAAAATGATAATAATAAAGAAATGGAAAAGCCAAAAACACCTGAACAATTCAAAACAATGGTGCACTGGATCAAGAGGTACTTTAATGGAAGTGACATCTAAAAAAGGTAAAATACGCCTAGAAATGAGTTAACAAAATAAAACCAAGCTGCAATGAAACTTTAGAAAGAAACTTCTAGAAAGACATGAGGCAAAAAGTGTTCATGTCAAAGCCGGGTATTTGTTAGGGTAAACCCCTGCCGCCTCCCCTCAAACCTGTTCTCCACGTCCATGCAGAGGGCCACCTGGAGAGACCTTGGAGGGGGGAGGTCTTAGGTTCCACATCTCCTGGCCTCTTCCCATTCTGCATAAATCCATCTGCCCCACTCTAGAAGGGCACCCCCAGAACAAATCATCCCATCATGACAGCCCCTTCTCCCCTCCACTTCTACTTAAACCTAAGGCCACAAAACAACGTCCACACTCCTTAGCACAGCAGGAAAGCTTTACATAATCTGACGTCAGCCCCACACCCCATCCTCTTCCTCATGTTTCTCAACCAGTAGAGTGCCTAAAATCGCTAAGGACATTAATCAAAATGAAGATCCAAGGCTCCATCGTTCACCCTGAAACTGATCCTCAGGCAGAGCCCGAGAACCTACGTTTTACAAGTACCCCCGTGACAAGGAACCAGGTTGCCAGAGGGCCACATTTTGACAAGTACACCTCAGAGGGGCTGCCGGCCTCTCCCTTGCTCCCACACTGCAGGGTCACTGCCCCCCCCCCACCTCCTGGGTCTCCCCTTCACCTTCCCAACCTCACTGTGAAATCAGAGCAGCCAACAGTCTTACTTTAACAGCCCAGTTTAAGCTCTGTCCACACACCAGTCTGAGCGGCACAGGCTGTTTTCTGTACCTGGAAAGCCCTAAGCCGCTTGCTGAGATCCTGCCCATCTTCCAAGTCGGGGTTCAAATACCACCTTCCACGTGTCCTTCCCCAAGTCAGTTTCTCTTTCCTCCAAACTCCACATTTTCTTTATATGTCTGTTATTACTTATCAAATTTTGCCATACTTGTGTATGGATTGCTTTTCAGGGTAAGGGGAAAGTGTTCACAGCTATGCCCTCCAGAGTGCCCCAAATATTACCTTTGAAAGGTTTTGAATTGAGTTTATTAATCAAAAAACTCCTGAGGGCCGGCCGAGTGGCTCAGTTGGTTAACAGCTCGCTCAAGAGCTTGAGCTCTGAGCAACAGCGTCTCTGGTTTGATTCACGGCCTGAGCTGAGCTGCCGCTGAGCTGCCAAGGGGTGGCAGGATGGCTCAGCTAAAAAAAAAAAAAAAACCTCCTGAGATGCCATCAGACATATATTAATCTACATTGTGCTCTATGAAGGTAAGTTTTAGAGATTCCAATATGCCAAACAATAGACAGCAGGATTTGCAAACTGGCAGGAGGATCAGTTTTTGTTTTGTCTTGCTTGGATTTTACAAAATGGAATCTAAATGTTTTTGGGCAGGGCGCAAAAAAGATCCATTTTGACAAAGGCCCTGCCATCTATTCACTCAATAATGCTATCTGTCAGGCCAGGAGGAAGTCTTTGAGACTGTGACTCCTACTCGGCTGCTAAAGCAGAAACTATGTAATGAGGAAAACTTACAATGCACACTAGAGAGTCCCAGAAACCAAGGAAGGCCAAGATGCAAGTGTAAAGCCACAGAGGAAAGATGGAAGAAAAACAGTATAGAAGATCAACTGAGAAAGGAGCCAATCACCAACAGATAGGAAGAAACGATAAACTTGCATAAGGCAAGACTTCTATTCAAAGAGCTGGGAAGAGAAGGAAATTTTCTTAAAAATAATTTTCACAGAAAAAAATCAACAGCTTTATGTTTGTTTTATGATGAGGTATTAACCTTGGAATTTGAAACTAGGTTTTGTAAAAAAGCAAAACAAAAAGCAAAAAACTAGAGGAAAACAAACACTACACAATACTAGTAGTTATATAAATACCATAGTGGTTCCTTCTCAAAGGCTTATTTATATTCTGCACTAAAGAAAATATCAAAACTACATTATATCTTACAATTTGGCAAAAGCACCCTTCACATCGCCTTAAGCCATTTACCTGCTAACTCAAATGCAAAAATAGATTTGAAATTAAATAAGAGATGGGAGTGGAGTTCCATCTCTTCTCCCCTTTTCGGTGCTGGACGGTTCAGCTTTACACAGAAGTGGAGGAATGGAACTGTCCCCTCCACTGCCTTCTACTAATCTCTCCATCGGAAGGACCGGGAGACTTAATCCACAGCCCACAGAGTTCACAAATCCCACTGCCTCCTGATGAAGCACAGTGGGATTAATTATAACAAATGAGTTGCCTATCATTCTATACACTTGGAATATTAATCTCAGTCATTTTACAGCCTACTCTCAAGCCCAAATGGGAACTTGCGGGAGGTGACAAGACCCAAGACGCCACAGTAAGCCCAGGTGACAGACTGAAATCCCAGAGCAACTTTTCTGATCACGGTGGGGTTTATAGAAGAGGCATTCAAGGCCAAGGTGGAAGCGAAGTTCTTTGGCCAAAGCAACTGTTGATCTGTGCAGCCTGAAATTATCTGTTCCAACAAGCAAAACCAGCATTTATGCCTTCTTAAATGGTGCTTATCTTGCACTGGCAGACACACTGGAAACCTTGTTTTTAAATGGATCGCTAAAAGAAATCCCGACTTAAAATGATGAGCCGCCCCCTTGACTCCGAATGTTTTGCTGTCTTCAGACAGCAAAGGAAACCGCCCTGAATCATCAGGTAAAAGCAACAGAAAAGGAAGCAGGGTTTGTATGTTCGCTTGACCCAAAGAGGACAATCACATACTAAATGGCAAAAAGACGAAAAAAAAAGTTGTGGGAGACGGCGTCTCTCCGAACAGGAAGATCCAAACACAGCCCCTCCTCGTCACTGGAACCCGCTCACAACGTTCCCGGGCTTGACCAGCTCAGCTCCCTTCGCAATTTACTAAGAGCCAGGTACCTGGCTCGCCGAGACCGTCTCCCCGCGAAGCTCCGCTTAGAGGCCTTCCAGTTTCCTTCCCCGCGGTCCCCCGAAACCCGCCGCTGCTCCCACCTTTTACTCTCCCCGCCCCCCGAGCACTTGGCTTTCTCCCCCTCCGTCTCCATCTCCCTTCTCCCCCAGGTTCCCACCGCGCCCCGACCGCTTTCTCAGGTCCCTTCCTCCAGCCCTCAACCTCCGCCCTCCCTTCCGGCCACCCCTCCTCTCACGACCCCACCAGATCGGCTTCCCACCCACCGGCTACCCCAGCACCTCACGGTCTCCATCGGGGACGCGCTCGCGGGTGGGGCCCCGCCTGCCCCCAACCGCCGCCTCGCACACGGAGGTCAGCGGGGAGGGGACCCTCGCCCAGCCACGCCCCCCACAGATAATGGGTGACATGGCGGCCCCGGCCACCCGCCCCGCTCCTCCACCGCGGCCCGGGCAGCCTCGCTCACCCACACGAACAGGCTGTCCGAGAGCAGGTACTGGGCCACGTCGCGGGCCCCGGGTCCCGCGGCGCTCGGCTGGGCGACCGCGGTCGCATCGGGCTGCACCGGGGCCGTTATCGGCTCCCGCTCGCCCGGCCCAGGCCCGGCCTCGGCCTCGGCCTCGGGCGGGCTGAGGGCGCGGTAGGCGCTGACGATGGAGAAGAGCAGGGCCAGGCCGCTGAGGCCCGTGTAGGTGCGGAGGCTGGGCCAAGGGAAGCGCTCGAGGAAGAGCAGCGGCATGGCGGCAGCGGCGGCCTCTAACCTCCAGGCCTCCCCGCTTTGCGGCCGGGCCCCTGCGGCGGCCTCGCGAACGGCGCCCACGGGCTCTGGCGTAGCTGCTGCCGCCACTGCCGCTGCCGCCACCGCGCCGGGCCGGGCCGGGCCGCTCCTGACCGCTCGCGCCGCTCTCGCTGCTGCCCCTGCCGGCGCGGAAGAGCCTCGGCGGGCTCGGGGCGGGCCGTCGCCTCCTGCAGGGTGCGGGCGGGATGCGAGCGGGGGCGCGGCCTCCGTCCCCCGCCCCCAGCGGCCGCGCCGCCGCCGGGCCAGGCAAGGCCGCTGCGGCGGGCCCTGCGGCCCAGCACCCAGCATTGCCCTCCGCTGACTGCCCCGCTCAGCTGGGCCGCGGACGCACAGGGCACCCGCGGGGTCCGAGCTGCAGCGTGTCACCCAGGCCCGACGGCGCTGACCGGGCGGTCAGACCCAAGCCGCGGGGACCGGGGCTACCAGGCGTGTCTGGTCCCTTGTCCCTTCGTTATCTTTAACCCCCATAAGTAGGTTACCCTTGAGCACCCCTGTGGGCCTAGCAGCTTCCCCGATGGCCAGAAGGGGAGATGGGAATAACAGAGGCCCCGATCCCCAAAGAAAGAGTATTAATCAAGTCTTCAATTTCTCGCCAGTAAAAAGCTGTCAAGTTTCTGCTGCTTACTAGTAGTCTCGAGAAGAGTCTAAGACGAACCTAATTTATCAGGAAATACAAATGTGTTCCTTCATACACCAGGTAGGAATGTAAAATGGTGCACCTACTTTGGAAAACAGTCAGTTCCTGAAAAAGCTCAACGTAAGAGGGCCCCTTTGACGTAGCAATTCCACTCCTAGCTGTATACCCAAAGAAACGTAAACACGGGTCTGCACAGAACTTGCACACAAATGCTGATAGCGGCATCATTAACAGCCAAGGGTGGAACCTACCCTAATGTCCATTAGGTGATGAATAAGGGATACAATGGAATTTTATTCAGCCATACAAATGAGCACCGTACTGACATGCTGCAACCTGGGCAAACCTTTAAAACGTGCTAAGTGGAAGCAGCCAGATCAAATGGCCACATGTTGTGATTCCGTATCTATGAGATGTCCAGAATAGGCAAAGATGCACATAGATTAACGGTTGCTCAGGGTTAGGCAGATGAGGGAACTGGGGGTAAAAGCTAAGTGATGAAAATGTTCTAAATTTGTGGCGATGGTTGCACAACTGAATATACTAAAAAGCATTTAATTGCACACTTTAAATGGTGAGATGTATCTCAATATGTGAATTATACAGCTCAATAAAGCTGTTAAAAAAAAAAGTGCTGCCAAACAAAAGCATTACCTTGGGGGGTCTCGTTCCTCCTTTACCCCCAAGGCCTATAATAGTGCCTGGCCCAGGGCAGGTGCTCGGTGTGTATTTGCTGAATCTTAACAAGCTTTCAAAAAGAAAAGGACTGTATTATCTTCAAGGTCTTTTGTGCCTAATATTCTAAAAGTCTGTTAATTAGAAAACAAAAAAAAAGATCTCTCAAGGTATTGCCATCCACTTTGAAATTTTTAGGAACATCCTATTAAAGGGCCTGTGATGAACACAACAGTTCAGCTTTTGGCAGAGAGGGCAAGTGGTTCACACACACATTTATATGAGGTCTACATTAGACTTCAGTTCCCCATGGGTCTCTCCCCACAGCCATTCAATTAAAATGCTAAACTTTCAACTTTGGTAAAATAAAGTTTTATTTTGAAAAAAAAAATGATAATTTTCCAGGGAAGTAACTGTTCTATTGGGTCGTTGGGAAAGTCATGAGCTATTTTTCTTTTTCAATGCAAAAATGCGTCACCTTTCCCGACGACCCAATATTTTATGAGTCCCCATAATTTCTAAACCACACTATCAGATGATCTATATTCAATCCAAGTCACAACACTTACAAAATGCCACACCAAACTTGTCCTAAGACTGCTGATAAAAGATCTGCCCTTATATTACAATATTCCACCACCGTGAATTTCTAAGTGCTGTGTAGTCCTTTGAATTATATAATCACTACTTTCTAAGTGTTAAAAGAACTTCAGCTCACCTTTTTTTCTGGAATAACTTTGTAGTGTTTAATAGCAACTCTTTACTTTTGGTTCTGACTACATAAACGAGTCTAAATTAAACTTTTAGAGGCTTGAACTTTCTGAAGATTCAATATAAGTGAAATTAACCCAACTATATAAGGTTTTTACTTGCATTTTAAAAGGTTTTCAAGGTTTCTGTCTGGATATTTTACGAGGGTATTCGTTCTACCAAATATTTTCCACCTCCACTCCAAGGAGGTTTTTGCACATCCTTCTCTGAAGGATCTTTTTCAGCAAGGGCGTTACCACCTTCTAAAGTCAACTGGCTCTTTGGACTGGATCCGACTCCATCAGAGGATCAGAGGAGAAGGCAAGATAGAGGGATAGTGTGACCAAGAAGGCTAGACCACAGGCTTAAGGGACAACCTATGTCAGTTGAGGCCCAAGTGTGGCAGGAAGGCACCTGCACCAGACTTGAAGGGGCTGGTCCAACTTGGACAAGAATGTATCTGTGAGGCACACGATGAAAGCTAGAGCTCTCCCCACCCTCACCTTCATTTCAGAGTACCATTTATCCTTCTGGATTGACTCTTGTGAGACCTTGGGTAGCGCCCCCTGCCACTCCCAATGACTGAGACTGAATTTCCTGCCATCTTTGTGAGATGGTGGCCGGTTTAATGGAAATAAATGTCATTTCAGACAAACCAGAATTTATGTGGAGTAAGGGTCACACCTACATACATTATTGCTGTTTTCATTTTTTTAAATATCTGTAATCCTTTCATATTCATGACCTCATTTGATTTTCATTATCCTGTGAGAAAGGCCAAGTAGTTTTAAAATTCTCAGCTTCCTAGGAAGTGAACTTCATTATCTAATCCAGTAGCCTTAAATGTACTCACATGGAATTCTGGTGTTTTATTAGTGGGACCAATGTTCCACTACAGAATCCAGCAGAACTGGGTAAAATAACCAACTTTTCAAGTTTATATGGAAAACACTAAGTTACTGGGTATATTTCAATTTTTAGCTTTTCTTTCATAATTTTCATAGCTCTATGCCGTCTGCTTTAAACTACACAAGTAGTAAAATTTTCAGAACTTTGTAATAACTTTGTCAAGTTTTCTTCAACTTTGGTTCATATATAAAGCTTCAAGCCTATGGTGCTATTACATATATATTCTCATATTTGGGGTATATTGTTTCTATTTAAGATGCTGAAATTAAATTACACAGTATTACATAAGCAGCAAGCATGGTGTCACAAAACATCATGACTTCCATGTAAGTTTGAGAGAAAAAAATATGAGTCAACAATCTCTTTATAGGTGAAACTAAGTCCCCAATGATATAATGACACAGTTAACACAACTGTGTGGCAACTTCTAGGTAGGTAGGTAGGTAGATAGATAGATAGATAGATCCCATCCATCCATCCATCCATCCGTCTTTGGGTCCCAAATCCAGTGTGACCCTTCACACTGCAGGACACTGAGTCTGCTTAAGAACACTCCTAACACACACAGTGGCGGAGGCCAGGGGAGGGTAACATCCACATCCAGGTCTTCAGGCCATTGCTAGGACGCCAAACTGTCTCTTAACTAATGGCCCCTGGTCATTGACACTGAAAAAGAACCATTCAGGATGACATACTAAGGTTAGCAGCCACCCACACAATTAGAGTCATTCTGTTTTAAATTTTTTTAATTGAAATGACAGTAAAATGAAATTAAAAAAAGAACAGTGACCATTTTAATTCGACCTTTACTTTACAAATATAAAAATATAACCAAAACTCGTTTCTTTTATACATTTTCCATAAACTTAATACAAGAAAAATTCTCAAAGCCAAACTATAAATGCTTGCATTCTATGATGTAAACACAGTAACCAAAAGCTTACATTTTAAATAGGCTGATCTTTCCCTCAACAGAACAGCATAATACGTTTTCCCAATTTATCTTATCTTACGATACAATCCATAACTAAAATACAAATTACACCTAAACTAGCTTAATCTAGACTTACTTAGGTTTTAGTCTGTTGTTTTCACACAAAAACAAGCTAATATTTAAATGTTTTTTATGACTCAAGTCAAATGACTATTGTTTCTCATCACATATTTAAACAACAAAGGGAAACTGAAGTGAGTCCAGTTTAACCCAAATAATAAATGATAGAAAACAAGTACAATAATTATAGGAAATGAGTATTACCATCAAAAACCACTTATGCCTTCCCCGGCCATGCGAAATACAAAATGACACTCTCTGAAACAGCCTTATTAGCGATGGCACATACTGTTCCATACACTATGAGCTAGTAAAGACATTCATCTGAGGAACTCCAATGTGGAAAAGCTGCTCCAAGCATTTCATCTCAAGTGACTGGGCAGGTACTTAAAAAATAATCATTAAAAACCTGAGAGCCCAAGAGTCACATCATTTAAGAAAGGGAATTCTAAATGGATTGCTTGCTGGCCTGCTGAATCTGGAGGACCTCACTTCTAATTAAGCCTGGAAGAAAAAGAATGGACTGGCTAATTTGGTTGTTTTATCCAAATAAAATGCTAACTTAATGGAACCCTTAAATACCCAAAGTATAATAATAACCAAACCACACAGTGCTAGTTACGAGGTAAGACAATAAAAATCCAGATCTGCTATTAAAAGTACAAATTCATATACAGAATTAGCATAATGTCATTTTAAGTGTTATCTACTCTACTTTTTAAAAAAAAATCACAAGTCTTCATCACTTAGGAAAACAAATTTCACTTTTCTTCAAGGGGATGTCAATGCTAACAATGATTTAAAACATCTGTGTAAGACTTTTTCCATTTTTTTCCCACAACCTATTGAATTATTTTCTAGTACCATTTAGTTTTATATAGAATATGCACTACTCGGATTACTCGGGGAAAATAACCTCGCAAATACGGTAGTTACACAATGCAAGAGGGCTCTCCTTTATAAACAAACCCGGAACACAGAAGGCAGTCAAACATGTCGTTAATCAAGAGCTCATTTAAAAGCTATTCAGCACTTAGCATGTAGAGAATCGGAGTACATGATTTAAGACTGTTAGTTCTTGAAGAGGTATGGTAAGAACTTATCAAAAGACCTTAGTGGTAAACAGTGTCCTTGTACCCTCTTCTAAAGCTTTAGGAATACATCACATTTGAACTTCCCTAGTTCTATTTCCTGCAGGAAACCAGAACAAGAGTACTGGGACACAACCGCGACTCAACAGTACAAAACAACTTAAAAATTTTTTATGAACTTTACATTCAAAACCAGATCTATTACATTCCAAGGTTAGTGACCCAGGCAGTGTAAATCAAAGGTTCTTCTCACCTAGGCCCCAGCATATGGATGACGGGATCAAGCACTCATACTGGGAAGCAGAGATCAGAAAGAATTTGTAAGTCAAAGCTCAAGTTACAAAGGCCATGAGTGGCCTTGAATCAGATGACTCAACTCACTCCTTTAATGACACTTTATAAATTACGCCTAGCAAACATCCACCTATCTCCACCCACCCTAAATGGGGAAAGCTAACGCATCTGAAACATGGTCACTGTAGCTTTCACTTGGATGCCAGGAGCAATCATGGAAGGTGGGCTGGATCAAGCCATCTCCATCTCTGCCTTCCCATCTCTTAGGACTCAGCTAATCAGTGAGTTCACCAATAAAATTATAGTAATTTAGAAATATGCTAATGTAAACCAGAGAGGCTCGGGACTGTTAGTTCTTGAGGGAAGAGAACTATCCGCAGAACTCGTGGCTTTTCCAAAGGAAATCACTGGTCACTTTTGGTCCTGGAGCCTGGTGCTCACCTACTACTTAAGCATGGGCACGTGTAGTTACTACTTGATATGTAAGCATGTGAAGGTTTGACAGGACCTCAACAAAGAAACTGAATGTTTGTAAATAAAATTGTTCAGGTGCTCTTGGTCTGATTTTTCTCAAGTCCAAATAGGGAAAAGTACATGATATACTTTTCACTTCACCAAGTACTTTATGGTACTGTGATCAGCACCATGAAGTTGTAAGAACTAATCAATAGTTCATTTCTGCCTATTAAAAACTTAACTATGCCAATCTCTTTTAAGTAGCTGTATCTCACAAGATTTCCTTTATGTTAAGCCTACGGTCAACAAGTTTCTAATAAGGCATACACAATATACTTTGACCATTAATCAATGAAACCAGCAAACTCCTTTGCCCTAAGATTCTTTTTTTAATTCCCCCAAATTTGATACTAGTTTAGCAGTCTTTTTAAGGTTTTTAAAATTGGTCTTTTCCTTAGGCTGACAAAACTTATCCCCTATCCTGTCCTTAGATTTCAGATTATGCCAACGTCTTCTTGAAAAGGCTTTGTCACTTGCTAAAATCAAATTTTCATCTCTATGGATATAACTTCGAGTTAACAGAAATAACTTCTCAACCCCAAGGGTTCAAAACCTAACAGACCCACTTTTAGAAACTTCCTTCACAGACCACCATTTTACCATGGCCTAAGAATAACTCAGACATAATTTCACAATAGCACAAATAATATCCCCATTATGGTGGTGGTGGTGGCAGCGGAGCGGGGTGTATGGGGGGGGGGGGGTCGGGGTGTAAAAAAACCCAAAATTCTAAATGAGCTCTAGACTGGTCTCTTGAGGACTTGACATTTCCCAGACTTCCCCCGAGCAAGCCATTTTAGTACTGTCCCATGTTTAAGGTCCGTTGCTTATGAATGAAGGTCTGGCTGTACCAATACAAAATGTACCAGTCGGTAATGTACTGGGAGTTCTGCTGCAGTACAGCTCAGAGTGTAACATTTGGTGCAGGGCTTGCACCCTGGACTCATTCAAGCAAATCGAGTTCCCAAAAGTAGAAGATCCTCATCACAAAGATTTCTAACGTGGTCTTGAAGTGCACCCCCAAGAACGGCACCAGGGCATGGGTCCCATAAACTCATCTAAACCTGCTACTGTCTCTTAGCATTCACCAGCCTAAGGGGAAGAAAAAAACAATCCTCGCTTGTAAGAATTTTACAATTTTAATGTGAAATTTAAAAAAATGAAATACAAATAGAAAGACTACTTTCTGTAATGTTGTACAAAAACGTATGAGTAGAAACAAAAGCAAATTAACATTATCACGTGTGTTTACACCACTATCTCGTTCTCCATATTAACTTTACTGTTCAAACAATAGAAAGCAGGTGGCAATTCAGGGGCTGGGAAAGGATAAAACCAGAAAACTTTTCTACAACATTTATTTTACACGGTGTAGAGCTGTGCTCACAGAGACGGCTTCTTTTACTTCTCCACTGTGCAGGAATTCAGTTGTATATAAAATTGAACCTGAATTTTAAAAAGAACAACAGCTTTATTAGAAACAGTATTATTTTCATAGTTTCTATCTTAGGTGACAGAGAAATTTATTTGGACATGTCTACCCTCCCATGACATTTCTGGCATTTTCTACACTAAGACACACTTTCCTCTCACCTGTCACATCTTACACATTAAATGAATGTTGTTGAACACTTACAAAAAAATAAAAAATAAATAAGTCTAAATTTGATTAATTATCCACTAATAAGTTCCTTGAGGGGAGGAAAAGTTTTTGTACCTCATTGTATTCTAACCACTTAGCACAGTTTCTGATACCTAGTAGGTGGTGCTTAAATCAATGAATAATGGCTCTTTTTTTCATATCCCATACTGCAACTAGTAACCCATCAGCAGACCAAAGCAGAGGAGTAAATGATAAAGTTTGATAAGTGTGGCTAAATGGAAAGACCAATTTTACTCAGCAAGTTTTCATAGAAGGCAAAATCACTGCTGGAATTGTTTTTAAACTAACATTTATTAAGCATTTACCAGGTGCCTGGCACTATTATAACCGCTTTGTATGTGTTATTTCACTTGGTTCTCACAATTCTGTGAAGCAGGGACCACCACCCCCACTTACAGGTGAAGAAACAGGTGTAACTGTTTGTCCATGGTCACATTGCCGGGACGTACTGAAGGTGGAATTCAAATCCAAACATTATGACCATAGAATCTATTCTTAACCACCATGTTATTCTGTGATTCCTAGCTATGGATGGCTCTAAGGACCTCGACAAGTACCAGTCAACTTAGACAAAAAAATAAATAAAAATAAATTTCTCATCACTCTGCATTAAACAAAAAAAAAATCTAACTCCAGGTAAAACTTCAGGACTTAATCCCACATGCCCCAATTTGGTCCTACATACAGGTTCCAAAATGTTAAGAGAATATATTACACCAAAAGAGTCAGTCTCCAAGTTTTTATAGATAGCTCCCCCATATTCATTACATTGCTGCTACTTCTTTCAAATGAAGAAGACTGAACTATAGAGTCATCAGATTTGGAGAAGAGCAGTTACACAAATGCCAGATGTCAGGCTGAGACTTAGGGTCCCTTTTAGTCAGTCATATTTAATCTACAGCTTGCATATGACCAAGGGTCCATCTACTGTCTGAACTTCCTTAAAAACAAAATACATAAACTATCCCTTCTCAAGTGCTTCGGAGTATTTTAAATATGGCAGTTTAGATGAATCAACCACAAAATGTGCAACTTTCCATACCTGCTCAAAAGCTGAGGGAGACTAGAAATGATGGGTCCATATCCTGGTGCATTGTCATACAACTCAAACAGTGGTGCAGCTACCAGCTTGTAATTTTTAGGGACTGCAAACAAGGCTAAAATAAAATAAAACAGCATTCATTTTCTATAATTTCTTATGTAATTACTGCTTCCACTTCACTTGTAAAGTAATCACCAATGCGACTGTTTGAGGAAAAAGATAATTCTCATTAATACATTTTGACTGTGTCTTCTAAGCAAAGTTCACAGTGGAAACTTTGAAACTGACTGTAAAGTGATCCATGCTATTAACAACCAAGAGTGCCTTGTAAGTTCTGGCCCTGGGAGAAAGGGGAGAAGAGAATTGTCTTGGGTTTGTAATTTATTTTGGATTCTACTTTAAGAGTAAAAGAAATAAAATAATTACTTGCTAAAATGCACAGCAGGCCTAAAGACGGTATTTCTTTTTAAAAAAATCCATTCATCTGTCTCCTATAATTTTCAGTGTATCCCAATGTAGAAAATCAATACCAGCAACTAAAGTTATTAAAAATACTATAATCTACTGGGTAGGCATTTATCCAAAGAGAACACACAGATGGCCAACATATGAAAAAGATGGTTAACATCATTAATTATCAGAGAACTGCAAATAAAAACAATGAGATATCACCTCACACCTGTCAAAATGGCCATCATCAATAAATCAACAAGTGTTAGTGAGGCTGTGGAGAAAAGGGAACCCTGGTGCACTGTTGGTGGGACTGCAAATTGGTGCAACCACTATGGAGGTTCCTCAAAAAATTAAAAATGGAACTACCTTATGACCCAGCAATTCCACTCCTGGGTAGTTATCCAAACAAATCCAGAACACTAATTTGAAAAGATATATGCAACCCTATGTTTACTGCAGCGCTATTCACCATAGACAAGATACAGAAACATATCTTGTAGTACATATATACAATGGGATATAACTCTGCCATAAAAAAAAAATGAAACCTTACCATTTGCAAAAACACAGATGGACCTGGAGGGTATTATGCTAAGTGAAATAAGTCAGACTGAGAAAGACAAACACCATATGATCTCACTTGTGTGTGGACTCTAAAGAACAAAATAAACAAACAAAACAAAAATAGACCCCCAGATACAGAGAAAAAACTGATGGTTACTAGATGAGAGTGGGGCTTGGGGACGGGTTAGAAAGGTGAAGGGATTAAGAAGTACAAATTGGTAGTTACAAAAGAGTCACAGGGATGTAAGGGTGCAGTATGGGGAATATAGCCAATAATATTATAATAACTATGTACAGTATCAGGTGGGTAATAAACTTATTGGGGTTATCATTTTGTGAGGTATATAAATGTCTAATCACTATGTTGTTTTGTAGACCTGAAACTAATTAAAAAAAATAAAAATAAATAAATACTATAATCTGGCATTTTAAGGCTCCAGTTAAACATACTTTCCCCCGGTAGCATAAATGGCACATCTCCGAGAAAAACTAGATAATTCTAGTTTTAGTTTTACAATAAATCCAAAAATTCAAGGAAGTTGGAGAAAACACAGACAGAGGTACCCTTGAAATTATTCCACAAAAGTTTTTAGATGGTTGCTTCAAAAACAAAGTAGCTTACCTTTCTCTTGAAGTTGAACCAAAAACAACTTCTTATGTTCCTTAGGTTTTGTAATGTGTGCAGGAATATAGGGATACTAAAATAACAAAAGAGATTAATTTGTTGTTGCCAAAACATCCCTTATACATCCATGCATCTATTTATCAACTCCCATTTCAGACATTAAGGCCAAATATCAACCCTCTGAGACCAAGTTCCTCATAACCCCAACACAATGTTTACATATATCTCATGGCTTCATTTCTCTCTCTACATGTTTATTTCCAAGGCAATATAAACTGCTGGGAAAAGTAGAATCCTTTCTACCTTTACCGGAGTCTAGTACCAAACAGATGTATACATAAATAAATGCTTTAATAAATATAAAATAACTAGTAGTAAACCATTCAGCTATCCAAGACAAACATGTAGACACAGGATTTACAGCTTGAGAAATTCACAATACAACGAAGTCTGATATTAATTAGTGCTTTGTAAAAAGTTTTTTGTTTTTTGAAATCTCACTACTAAGTTAAATTTTTCTAGAATCCTAATGTGGACATGTTTACTATATTAAAAGCTTAAATGTGGTCTGTGAGGTATTTGACAAGATGCTCCTACTGCCACCAACTGCACATACACACACAAGCGCGCACATGTGCTTCCGCAACACCAGGCGAGCAGTGTAAGTGGAGTTCTATCAGCTGGACAAAGTCAAACTGCTTGAGAAAATGGAGAAAATATTTTGGAGAATTTAAAGGAAAGGAAGATGCTATGTGTGAAAGAAGAATTTTATCAGAGAATTCTAAGTCTATGAGACAGATTTCTTCTTTTTGTTCTACTGATGTCAGAAAAACTTCTCCTATATCTCCACACAATACTTGCAGAAAAATAATCTGCTTTTGCTTTTGGAATTGTATTTGAAGGCAGGGGAATTAAAAACTGCTGAATATAGAGATAAGGGGAGAGTAGGCTAAAAACAGAGCTGCCAAAAGAAGGTATTATCACTCCCATTTTATTTTATTTTTAGATTTTTATTGGGGAATTGGGAGAAGGGGAACAGACAAGTTGCTGTCCTTTTGTTCTTCAGTCTAGTTGTGGAGGACGTTGCTTCACTGGCCCA